TCTCTTCTCAATGCAGGTTTGCTAATCATGGGCAAGTCCAGTGGTGCCAGTTTCCTCAGTAAACTCAAAGGAGGACTTACTCGGAGTGGACGAGCCCACAAGGTTCCCTCCCGACTACGCGAGGATGGCACCTCACAGGGAGGTGGAGGGGTCGGGGGAGGAGACCCTAGAGGAGGAGGCGGTGGGGGGAGAGCCCCTAGAGGAGGAGGAGGTGGGGGGAGAGGCAGCCGGGGCAAAAAACTCCGGGCCGTGTCCGAAATAGGAGGGTCTTCTTCGATGCCCTCCCATACAGAGGCACCTTCTGAGTCTGAGGAGGAGGAGTATGTTCCTGATGGCGAGGAGGAGGAGGCCGAGGAGGAGGGTGAGGAGGAGGAGGCCGAGGAGGAGGGTGAGGAGGAGGGCGAGGAGGGTGGAGGGGAGGTTGATCCCGAGTTGTGGGGTGACTTGCCACCGGGTGCTCCGCAGGGGTGGCTGCGTGGTAATGCCGGACTACCTACACCACCTTCTATCGAGGAGCACAAGTGGATCATTGAACCTGTGGGGACAGAGTAAGTGCCTCTCAATCATATTTTCAACACATGACAACATTTTCTTATTGTACACATGGCAATCATTTGATTCTTTTGCAGAAACTGGATCCTTCGCGGAAATGGCCGTAAACCGAACGACCTTATCACTGTCCTGTTGAAGCACTTTTGGCCTGGCTTATTCTGCCCGCGGCCAGACAGGGACCCGCAGCTGCGGGTTTTGGCCACTAGCTGGGCCCACTACGAGGCTTGCAGCAACGCGGAGTACGGGACAGCCGCTAAGGCCGTGATCACCAAATTTTGGGTAAGTTCTCTTCTTAATCACTTGTCTTCAGTTTCGTTCATAGTTTATCATTGGATCACTCAACTCATGCCTTGTTTGCTTCTGGTTTATGCAGCAACTCTATAGAGTTCTTGACGAGCACAAGGCCAGAGCCGACGTGGTCTTGCTTGCGGCTGCGAAGAAGAAAGCTCGTCAGTTGCAGTACGAGGTGCGCTGGGTTGCCGTCTCGCAGTACTACCACTACTACCTGCACCAAAAGATGACCAAAAGTCAAGCGCAGAAGCAGCGACTTACCTTGAACAAGGAGCAGTTCATGATGGTAACTATTACTAACTTTTCATTGTTTCAAGCAGTCAACTCTATGTTTCGTGCTCACATGTCATGCTTCCAAAATTTGCATAGGTTGTTCCTCGTTGGTGCTATGGAAGGCATGACGGATGGGCGAGTTTGGTGGATAGGTGGCTCGGCGCCGATGCAGAGTTTGCTGCCAAGAGCATCAAGGGCCGGGCTAACCGTGGAGCCGACGGGACACACGGCCAAGGAAACAGGAACCACTGGAGCTTCAAGGCCATGAAGGTATATCTATGTGCATGATGCATTTTTGTTCTTCTTTACCGTCATGTTCTTATGTATGGCTAACTTCTATTTGACGTTGTAGGAGGACAAGTTGAAGAGGCCGCTCTCAGACATGGAGTCGTGGAAGCTGGCCCGCGAGCGGAGTCGTCGCAAGGAGGGCGAGAGCCAGTACTACGGCAAGACCGAGGAGCACCTGGGGTCTTACATTCATCACTATCAGGAGTTGCATCCGGATGTTCCTGTTGCCGAGGTCGCCCAGTCTCAGATCGACAACACGGCGGTGGTGGCCATCCAGGGGAAGAAGAATGGCCGGTATCCGTGTTTCGACGGCTTGATCACTCCTTCGATCTCGTACACACAACTTCGGGCTAGCAACCCGAGCCAGTTAGAGAGTACGGGGCGTTCACAAACTCCTTTAGCCCGCCAGCATGCTGTAAGTACTTCCTCTTTATCTTTTTTATCTAGCATTCTCAGTTTATTTTCAGCATTGCTCACTTAGAAACAATCTAAATTATGTAGGCATATAAGGAGTTTGTCGAGCATAGGAATCTCGAGGTGCGGGAGTACTTGAAACGAGTGAAGGCAAACGATGATTACAACCGTCAGATGATGATGGTTAGTTCTGCCCTCTTAAAACCAAGCTAAATTTTTGCACTTTCATTCCTTCTGATCTTCTAGTTTGCTTGTTTAACTAACATTCAGGCTATGTTGGCGGCTTGGAGTAACGGCACGGGTCCACCACAAATGGGACCCCCACCACCACCTGCGGGAGAACCCCCACACGTGCCCACGTTCGATGAATGGGTGGCACTAGGCAGTGATGGTCCGGTTAGTACATTTGCCTAACTACTGACAAACTAGTTCTCGTTCATTCAACACTATCATATCATATTTACTGTTAGAATCTTTTCTGAAACATGTAGGGGACCGGTGGGTCAACTCCTGCTCCGTCGATCCCAGTCACTCCGATCTGGCAGAGTGGTGGTGGTTTTGGTGGAGGTGGTGGTTTTGGCGGAGGTGGTGGTTTTGGTGGAGGTGGTGGTTTTGGCGGAGGTGGTGGTTTTGGCGGAGGTGGTCTTGCTTGATGATTCCGTGCATGTGGCCGTCGTGCCATGCCTTTCATATTCCTACTTTTATGATGTTTCATGTCTTGCACAACTTTTATGTTCATGAACTTGAGTCGGTGATGATCTTTAGATGATGATAGTGAACTTGAGTATGTTTAGATGATGAACTGTCATATTTCTGCATAATTTCATATTGTTCTGTTTTGAAATGCTGTCAAATGAACTGGAAAAGAGAAAAAACAGGGGAAATAAAATAAAAAAAAACTATGCCGACGGCAAAGCCGTCGGCATATATAAGCCCAGGAATCACCAGGGCTCGCCACGTGGCTTATCTATGCCGACGGCTTTGCCGTAGGCATAGGTGAAAATCTATGCCGACGGCAAAGCCGTAGGCATACCTCTGCTGCCAGGAATAACCAGAAGAAGACACGTGGCAGGGCTATGCCTACGGCAAAGCCGTCGGCATAGATTCATCTATGCCGACGGCTTTGCCGTAGGCATAGCCCTGCCACGTGGCCTTGCATGATTCGTCCCCGTTTTTGACGGCCCCGTCCGTTGCCGTCAGACGAAAAAGACTGCCGACGGCTATACTATGCCGACGGCTGACGCCAGGCCGTCGGCATAGGCCCCTATGCCGACGGCTTTACTATGCCGACGGTCTGACAAGACTATGCTGACGGTATCTACGCCGACGGGTCTATGCCGACGGCAGCCGTAGGCATAGACCTATGCCGACGGCTTGGGGGCCTATGCCGACGGTCCTTGGCCGTAGGCATAGACCGCGAGTCCGGTAGTGAGTCGCTTGCTCCAGCTCCACTTATATTGCCGTACCTGTCCTATAAGCTTAAATAGTCTTGATCACGTGGGTGTGAGATTGCTGAGTCCCTGTGGCTCACAGATACTACAACTCCAGATGCAGGTCCAGGTGTTTCTGCTCCAGTTGACGATTACGAGCTCAAGTGGGAGTTCGACGAGGACTCTCAGCGATACTACGTGTCTTTTCCGGATGATCAGTAGTGGTGCCTAGTTGGGGTTATCGATTCAGGGCCTTGTCGCATGTTGGGGGTCTTTTCTATTTTGGCACCGTAGTCGGGCCATGAGTGATTTGTATGATGGATGTTATTTATGTACTCTGATGTGACGTGGCGAGTGTAAGCCAACTATGTTATCTCCCCCTTTTATTATGTATTACATGGGATGTGTAACGATTTCCCGACTTGCGACATTGCTTTCAATGCGGTTATGCCTCTAAGTCGTGCCTCGACACGTGGGAGATATAGCCGCATCGAGGGCGTTACACCTTCCCCCTCCTCTCTGGTGACCACATCCGAGTGTGCCCAGCCCACCTGCCTACATGTTCGTCCAAATGCACGAGCACCTATTTCTTCTCTGAAATTGTGCAATAATTTGCCGATTCATTGATTTTTTGCGTGAATTAAGTCGTGGGAAGTGCCATTGTGTAAATGGCAAGCTCAAGATCGCTCATCTGAGACTTTTTTTATGACTCCCCGCCAAAGAAGGAAGAATGGGAGGAGGGATACAATGTTTTTTCTTACTATTCATTGCGCACCCGCCACATCATCAATGTAAGTGCCGAAGCTGTGGGTTTGAAGTTTCATAATTTTAGAAAACCAATTCATTGTGCGCCTGCCACATCATCAGTCCTGTGTTGTCTACAGTTTGCGTGCCAAAACGGTTGCTGATTTCGTACAACTTAGTAGGTCTCAACAATGCAACACATCGCGACCGTGGCAACCCTATACCAATTAAATAATATGCTATAGTGCAGCCCAGTTTTCCTTTTTGCAAATTAGTCTATTTCGCGCACGGTGAATAGAAGCGCCCGAGGCCGAGAGAAAGGGCTGTGGTGGATAGCCGCGTCTCGACGATGCCACAACAAATGCACACGGAGGCAATGCATCATCACTGGTGTAGGCGTAGAGGAGAGTTGACGGGTTTAGGTGGTTTTTTTCATTTGGACACCACTATGGCGCGACATCGGTATCGCACGATGTTGTCAGCCGATGCATCACACCCCTTTTCTCATATCTTGCATGAGAACGAGCATGAGTTAAAAATCCGACAACACATAGGGTGTTCCGTTGGATGACCACATGACAAACATGTGCGCCTTATATACTCTCTTTCATTTTTGACCGCCGATGAGATTAGGCAGCATCCAAACTCGACATGACCGGACGCCACCTCGTTGGCGAGGGCTCGCCAGAGGCGGGGACGACGTGACATCACCGTCGGAGGAGAGATGTTAGGCATGGGGAGAAAAAAACAAAGGAGGTGGAGGTTGAAGATAAGGAGAGGCAAGGTGCGGAGAAGAGAGTCCAAGAGAAACCGGAGGTTAAAGATGAAGGGAACCCAACTGTCCGAGACTGTTCAATACTCGGGCCCAGTTAAATGACCGGTTGATCCCCAAACACGCGGATTTGAAACCCTAAAACACCCCAACGCAAATCGAACTCGCTTCGCTTTACTTTTTCGCCAAAAGAAAAGAAAGCTCGCTCCGCTTCCGCCGCCGCCTAAATCGAGACCATGGACAGTGCCGCCTCCGTCGCGGGAGCGCCCCCGGCGGTGCCGCCCGCGGTGCTGTGCGCCGCCGAGGAGGCCCTGGCTGCCACCGAGTCCGTGGGGGACCACCTCGCCGAGATGCTCGCCGCGGCGGCCGAGGACCCCGACGCCATAGCCGAGCTCCCGCCCCTGCAACGGGCGCGCGCCTTCCTCGCCGTAGCCCACGCCGCGACCTCCCTCTTCTCAGGCAACGGCTCGCGCCTCCTAGTTCTGCCATATAGCTCGCGCATACATCCTTCTGAATAATAAAGGTCGTTCTTTTTCGGTGTTTTGCAGTGCGGCTGCGGTGTTCGGGGATAAATCCGGACGAGCACCCTATCAAGAAGGAGTTCGTAAGTTTCTCTTTGAACACACATGTGATGCTTCCCTGTATCGTTCGGTAGTTGACGCGCAGAAGTATGTTACCGTGTTTGCCGAATATAGATAGATTTTGCCTGTCAGAACAGATCTGGCAGGGTTTGAGACTTTCACCTCTGCCTGTTTAGTGGGATGCTGTCCTGTTGGCATCTCTTCCTCTGCTGTTGGAGCACAGAGTTACTGCTTATAGGGAGGATGATTTCCACATGAGAAAGTTTTGAGACCTGTGTTTCTGGGTGTCATGAGAATTACATCATGACTTTCCTTTTGTCTTTTGACGCTAAGCAAGTTGGAGATTTCCTTTTCTTTTTGTGTGCTCAAGCAGGATGTTTCATTCGTAAGAGCTTTCCTTGTTTCTTTTGCAGGAGAGGTTAAGCCTGTGGCAGGAGAAGTTAAATCGATTGAACGAATGGGACAAGGGTACTTGACTTATTCACTCTTGCTGCGTGCTTGGCTTACAAATTGATATTCAGTAATAAGATTATAAAAACCAATAACAACCTGGATTCTGAATTGCAGCACCACTGCGACCTTCCACCACCGTGAACACGCAAGCGGCTGCAAGGTTCATTGGTCGTTCGTTGTCCCATTTGACTGATGGTATATAACTGCTTGTCGAATTTGTATGGTCTCGTCTCTGTATGGTATAGAGTTGTGGTTCTGATTCTTATTACTTTCAGACCAGAAGAGGGGCATGCAGGCAATCAGTAAAGGGGAAGGGGCGGGCTGGTCTGGGAGGAAGAGGAAGTCACAGCCACTGCCAGAGAGGAAGTCTGTTCGTGCTGCCGCGGAAGAGTTCCTCGCGAAGGCTTCTCAGGAGCTCATTGGGTATAATGGTAGCGGGGTGAAGGGCCCTGTTAGAACTGTTTTTGATGAAGACGAGGACTAGATTGATGTGTTGGTCTTATCTCTTGTGCAGCTCTCAGGTATTTATTGCTGCTTTTGTGCATTCAGAACCTCACTAAGTATTTATTGCTACTGAACAAGGTCTGTCAATGTTTGATGCAAATCCTTTCTCCGGGTATTACCACGGTAGACTTAGTACTATGCAATGGCCTGAATGTTCCAAGACTGCCACTCCCTAAAGGAAAACTTTTCTTTCCATATGTTTTTATAATTCATTCTTACACTGTAAATTTGACCTCAAATAAATCACAGGTAACAAATCCTTATTAATAAGGAATGGTGCCTTTGCAGTACCAAAGTAAACAGAGCAGTTCCTCAATGAAAAACTATGCAAAGATGCCAAAGTGACATCTTGGAGGCACCGGAAAGATTTTCTCCGGAAGTAATGGACCAATGCCGAAACGGCTCGGAAGTGCCAGGGAAAACTTATCGTAGCTAACAGAGAAGGTTTCAAAATTCAAAGGAAACTTTGATTGGCAGTACCAGAACAAGATGTGCGGCAGTTCCAGTGCTGTGGAAAATTGGATTTGCTCTCTGGGTAAACTAACTACTGAAGGATTGATAGTGATGGCTAGAAAAACACGGTGGTACTAGGGCTTTGGAAAAGCCGAGGAGTTGAGTGGCTTGAGTTGATTGTTTCAGGGCTTAGGCTTAGGATTTTCTTGGAGTTCAAACCAAAATACATTTGCTTGTACCCCTCTTGATAGTACGACCTCCCTACAGTCTGAATCTTGGAATCACCAAAAATCTAGAAATTTCATTGTAAAATCTCGGAACCACCTTCGGCCGACTCGCGGCTAATTCCATTCGTATAAACTGCCAAAACTCATCTAAGCTAATACTGAATAAACCGAAATTGATCTCGTTTCTTGTGATTTTGTGCCGTAGCGTGTTGCAAGGCTGTCCTCGGCCTAGTGCAGTGAACGATTTGTCCAATCATTCATCGATCTCTGGTGGCGGATTTCGTGTCACTCAACCAACTCTTGCTGACTATCATCACTAATCTCACTGTTGCCGAAGAGTCGTGAAGGTAGTATGTGGCTTTTGATTAAACCAGATTTAATCTTGTTTCTTGTGCTGCGTGGCGTAGCATGCCAGGTAGCTATCCTCAACCTGGCGCGTTGTCTGATCATTCACTACTCTTCGGCAACAGGTTCCGCGTCACTCAGTAACCTCACGTTGTCTCCCACCAGTAATCTCATTCATACCAGCTACCAGAACTCATTTAACCTTACAGTGTCCTAGAGTAAACCAAATTGGACCTTGTTTCTTGTGGTTCATGGCATGCCAGTACCATGGGCATGTTGCTAGCCAGCTCTTATGAAAACTTTGGGACAATGTCAACCGGTCTTGGGAGGCCTGGGTGCTGTGGATTTCTCAGTTATGAATGTTTACTGAGTAGATGGTTGTGGAAAGTTGATAATTAAGAGGGCCTCTGTCAGGAGCTCATTAGGAATAAATAGTTCAAGTAATGTAAATTTGCCAGTGTAAACTGAAGCCTGTACATTTCATTTCTGGTATGGTCTTATGAAAGTAAAAGATACATTTTCAGAAAAAATTGGTATGAACATGGGACTAGATTCTGGGAAGATGTATGGCTGGGTACCATCAGCTTAGCTGAGAATTACAGACTTTATAATCTGTGCAGCAATAGAAATGTAAAAGTTTCTAAAGTTTTTGCTGATGGATGGACTAGCTTTAGTTTAAGAAGAGTGATTTGGGGAGGGTTAGCTAGCCTGCGGGGTCAAATGAAGAGTGATTGTGCTGGAGTGAAGCTCACAAATGAGATGGATAGATGTGTATGGACACTGACTAAAACTGTCAAATTTACGGTTAAGTCGGTGTACGGTGCTATTAAGGCTAGACAAGTCCCATGTCCTTTTAGGAAACTTCGGTTCATTTGGATTCCTTTATATTTAGAAGTTGAAGTGTTCTTGTGGCTGGTTAGTAGGAAAAGTAGGATGATCTGTTACATAGAGGATGGATGGGTAGTTCGTGGGTGTATGTTTTGCAGCCAGTTGGATGAGGGGATTGACCATTTGTTTTTAACTTTCCCGGTAGTGAGGCGTGTTTGGTATGTGGTGAAATGTGCTTTGCCTGCAGTCTAGCCGCGTGGATACAAAGGTTTCCTGTTAGTCGTCGTAAAGATGTGATTGCCTGCGGTGTTGCCATGGTGTTGTGGGGCATCCGGAAAACATTGGTTGAATTATTATTGGTTTGGATACAAAGCTTTCCTGTTAGCCGCATGCATACAAAGCTTTCCTGTTAGCTGCGTGGAACAGTCCGTGCTCTGAAGGAGCGCTGCCTTGAGATCCTACAGCTGTTGCCCTTTTTAGTGTCTCACACATTGGTTGAATTAATTGTTGGTCTGGTCTGGATTGCAGGGAAACAGGAGCTCGGAAAATCCGTCGCAGCGGGCGTGTGGCAAGTCTTCCTGGTCCTGACGGCCAATGGTTTCTTCAGCGTGAAGCGAGGCTGGCCTCGTGTCATTCTCAGGATCGGAGACGGTTAGAAGAAAAGCTGTTGTGGGGATAAGTCTCGTTAGCTGTATGTAGCGTTGGACATATGTATTTTTAGTGGTTGCTGTTGCTCGTTCGTTTTGAGATGTTTGGAAGAATAATTTACCCCTGTGCGGGTCTTGTGTGCCAGAGGCACTTTTGTTACTCGATCTGAGGTTTCGAAAAGCCTGTTTGTGCTGTGGCCGGTAAAACTTGCTCTGAGATTCTCACGGGGTGTGCTTGGTAACCTGCACCGAATTTAGCCCATATGTGACTGGGTTGGGTTTGGCTGAGTGAATATAGACCAAAACCATGTTGTGTACATAGTTTGTTTGCCTGCATTCTCCACAGCCTGGCTGTGAAGAAACGTATTGCATGTTTGTTCTAGGCAGATGCAGAGTGTGTTGTATTTGGTTACATGCAACACGTGATGTTTGGATACCATCTTTTAAAGTGGCGAGGTAAAACAAAGTCTGAAACATTCCACGCAAAAGGTTTAGGTGATAACTTTCTGCGCATCCATGGCAAATTGCCTCCTCGTGTTTCTTCTACTTTGGTCACCACCTCATTGAAAATGATCACCTTCAGGGTCTGATGAACAAGGGTGAAGGCGGCCCAACCCTTATCAAGGGTGAGCATGTTGCTGATCATCCAAACCGTCACTGTCCAGGCGCAGCTGTCAAGTGACATCGGCAGATACTCCAACTTAGAGTGCTGGGATGACCTTGTACAAGTCGGCAGATACTCCTCATAGAAATGAAATGGCCCTAGTTCTTCGGCCGCTTGGGGGCGTTGCCGAGCTCCACCACCGCCTTGCCTTTCTTGTTGGCCACAACAACCTCTTTGCCATTATGATGACCAAAATTACCATAGCTGCTGACCAAAGATCAACATTCCTTCATCCCACCCAGCTAATCCAGAGCCT